AACTCATCGATCTAAGCCCAGACAAAGAGAATACCCCTACACCTGTAGCTTCTCCTGCTAGGCATGTTCATGTTGATGACATTGAGGTTGTTTTACTGTTCTGAAATCTGCTTAGATCTTGAAATCTGACACCATATCTGCCAGTTGCCATTTTTGATCTTTTGTCTTTGCATTTTATCGAGTGTTGCTGCTGATGTGCCCATGATTGATGATGATTTGGAGAATGAACTCCTTGCCCAGCTGGACATGTTGATGGATACTCCGGCTAAATCTGGATCTGCCACAGATAGTCAAGGGAAGGCAGTTGCTGAAGAAGTGAATTTTGATATCAACCTTCCTACTCAGGAGCAGATTAGTTTTGCGATTATGACCATGCAAGAGCTCCTTGGTGGTGATCCTTCCTATTTCTGCAAAGTGCCGGACCAGCCAGCCGCCTTTGAAGCGGCTCAAATCCTTAGCCGAGCCCCACAATTATCATCAACTCAACAAAAATTTTGGGCAGATTTCACCTCCATTTATACGCACTTCAGCAAGAGACTCTGGGTGCTTGAAAGCAAAGTAGTGGCTGCAGATTCTGTCAAGAAGTCTGTAGCGGATAGCACTGCCGTTGTCTTGAAGAAGAAAGAAGAATTCTTGGCAGCAAAGGAGGCTCATATCATGCAAGTTACACATGTCCAAGGCCAAAAAGAAGAAATCTCTAACCTTGAAGCCAAGCTTTCAGAGTTAAGAAACCAAGTTCCTCTTGCGGAGCAAAGTGAGAAAAATCTGGCAGAACAAAGAAACAAACTCCACATGGACATTGTAATATCCCAAAATTTTGGGGTATTTTAGCATTAAATTGGGGGACTTATTTGATGAGAAATATTATTGAGGGGCTTAATAGTCAAATTTTAAAAGTGAAGGGACTAAAAAGAAAGGAAATTTGGATAAGGATCAAGGCTGATATTTCTCTCCTCAGCCACGTGTTTTGCTCATCCTCATCTTCTTCTTCTTCCCGACTCTTCCTCCCGACAGCCCCCCAAGCCCCTCTAGCCACCGACTCATTTCTTTGAGAAAATTGGTGACCAAGCTTGGGATTTTGTCTTTCTTTTCTTGTTCTTGAACCCAGAAATCCCCTCCCTCTGTGCTGGAAATTCCAGATCTGCTCTGCTCTGTCTGCCCCGCTGGCTGCTCTTGATTGTGGGTGATTTCTGGGCATATTTTCTGGTAAGAGCAGCCACTAAATCCTCTTTTCTTACTTGAATTGGCTTGGGTTAACCTTGATTTCTCTTGGTTCTCCAATTTTGGGTAGATTTCCCGTGAGCTTCCCCTTGAATTTTCTGCAGAGTGCCGCCGGCCTCTTCCCCCCTGCAGCTCCGGTTCTTGCTGGAAAATTCTGGTATGATGGCCACTTCTTTAAGCCCTAAATTAGCCATTTAGTTTGCTGGCTGTTTTGTCCGAATTTGACAGAAAAATAAGGGAGAAATTTGATAGTAATTAGACCATGATTTAGCTTGATTCAAGTGGGATTTATGTGTTTTGAGTGTTAATTGATTGCTGTGATGTTTTGGGTGAAAATCCCGTGAATTAGCTAGTGTTTTGGCTAATGTTTGGAAGTGGCAGTACTGTTCACGTCGTGAGCACTGTTCACGGGTACTGTTCACACACCGAGGGTTAACGATTAACGGGGATTTAAATGATTAGTTTGTGATATAAGAATGAATTTGGAGATGTCCGGTTATGTGGAGATTGATAGAAATAGCGCTGTGATTAGGGATAGTGCTAATAATGATTTCAGTTGAATTTGTGATAGTTTGGTATTAATTCTGAGGTGTTTTGATTAGGTTCCCGATCGTTCTGTCAGTTAGCACTGAGATTGAGTGCTCGGTTTTATGCGAGTGAGGTAAGTAAATCATGGTAAAGCCCTTCGATTTTAAAGCATGTTTTCAATTGTTTTTGAGATGGTGGCAAGGTTTAAATTGATTTTAAATTGATTTTATCAGTATTTGAGTGTGATTAAACTGAAATGGAAATCGTGATGATTTTATGGGAATTTCATTGTTTTCGGGAATTGAGCGTGATTAGCATGAAAATGAGGATTTTATTGTTTTCTGGAATTGAGCATGATTGAAATGAAAAGTGAGAATTTCATTGTTTTTCTGGAGTTATTGCACCGAGCATGATTGGTTTGAAATGAAA